GCCTGCGCCTGTCCCTCGGGGCTTCCCGGCGTGTCTGCCCGGAGAGCGGGGCCGGGTGGGGGTGTCCTCGGTGCGGGGTGCCCCGGGCCTCTGCGGGGGTGGGATCTCGAACCGCGCAGCTGTTGGGGGCGGTTCAAGTTGAAAACGCGGGGGTTCAAAACATATTTTCTTTTTACAGGGTGCTTTTCTTTCTCCAGCCATCGAGTTAGCAGCGATGGAAAGACAGAAAAATTTCAGCCGCCTCCGAAGCCCGTCATTATTGACAAGCAGAAGCAGAGAGAGGAGAGGAGGTAGGGTGTCCCGGTACTTATCGCAGTAGCCCTGTGTTCACGTCTGCTGTCAGGCTGGTAATTGTGTGAGCGCCTTCTTAAAGCTCCAAGGCATTATTGCACAAAAGGTATTTGCAAAGTTCTACCAAAGATCATTTATCTTGAAATATGCTTTAAAATATCCCTAAGACACTGTTCTAGAGTTCCTGAAAGCAGTGAAAAAAATGTGTATAGCAGTAAAGATTTTTGCAAATTTATGGTTGATGTATGAGGTTTTCATCTGTTAAAGGCAGGCATCTCTTCAGTATGCCACAAGGTGACAGGGACACGGGTCCTTGGGTCCTCTGTCTGCCTTTGACTTAGACCTTGAGGTCACCTGTAGGTGCATTCGTTGCTGATTGTGACATGGAGCTGAAAAATGCATTTGTTTTACACTTATAAAAGTTTGGGTTTTCTTGCAGGTTCTTGAGCCCTGAATTTATACCTCCCAGAGGGAGAACAGATCCTCTTAAATATTATATGGAGAGAAAGGATATGATACAGAGACGGAAAGTCTTCAACATCCCAGAGTTCTATGTTGGTCAGTAACAGAACTTTCATCGTTTCATCAATATTTTTTGTAGGGTGGGTTGGTGAAAGGTGTGGTTTTATGTTGTAGAATAAAATAGAACATCGCAGCTCAGGTATGTTAGGCCAACTAGTACGTGTTTCTGTACATGCTGCTTCATATTTTAGTTTCATATTTACATCCAGTTTCCGTTGAAAGTATAATACTGATGTGTTTCTTAAATCCTGGCACTTCAGCATATGCTTTACTGGTAAAGCTCAAGAAGGGAAGATACCCTAGATATTGTTTGTGTTCAGTTTGCATAATGAAGAGTAAAAGGTAAAGGTGAGGAGTCACTTTAACGTATATCAGTTCAGGGCACGTTACGGGTTTATTCCGTTTCTGGCAGTTTTTATGGAAAATAAAACACTTAGAAAACTCTCAATGCACGCACTTTGACTCTTCCTCCGTTTTGGTACGTACTTACTCAGACAGTCTTTTATGTCCCTTGGCAGGCAGCGTGCTTGCCGTGACGACTGCAGACCCGTACGCCCCCGAGAAGGCCAGCCGGTTCGTGGGCATCTGCATTCAGAGGGGAGGAAAAGGACTTGGGGCCACCTTTGTCCTTCGGAATGTTATAGAGGACCAAGGTGGGTTATTATCGGTGGTCAGTTATGCTGGAAATGTTAAGCAGACACGGTTGAAGTTGTATGGAAAGGGTTACCTGGTGTAGAAATTTAGTCTGCGGAGAGAAGGACGATAGATTAAAGTGAAGTCACGAGTCTGCCTGCTAGGGGATACTGCAAGTTTAGAAGCTTTAAAGTTTAAAACCAGAGCATGCGTTAAATTCAGGGCATTCAGCGTCTCTCAAGCTGTTATCTGTTATCAAAGACTTGACTTGCAAAAGAACTCTGTGGTTGCCTGGGCAGGGACAGTGCACGTGTGCAGTCACACACGCAGCACTGCGTGTCAGGTCTCTGTGTAAGTAAAAAGTAGTTCTTGAATAACACAAGGCTGCGTAACACTGAAGAAATACTGATTTGCTGTTAGTATTTCTAATGAATTTGGCTCTTTAAACCAGACTTTCTCTCCCTAAGGCGTTGAAATCTGTTACGAACTGTACAGTCCTCGAATCCAGGCGATCGAGGTTCTGAAGCTGGAGAAGAGGCTGGATGACAACCTGATGTACCTGCGAGACGCGCTCCCGGAATACAGCACTTTTGATGTGAACATGAAACCCGTGTCTCGTTCAGACCACGAGGAAATTCACGTAAACGAGGTAGGAGCCGCCTGTTTCAGAGGGAAGGGGGAGGATCATTTGGGTAACTTTCGTATCTGGCCGATACCGTGGCAGGCCGTTAACCAGCCCTCCCTTGCGTTAGTGTTGCGAAAGCGGGGAAGTCAATCCGGTCTTGCACGGCCGGCACCGAATATGCAACAGACGCAAATCGGGAGACAGAATAGTAATAGTTTATTTACAGCAACATTTACAGGTTCTTTTGGATTGCCGGGGATAAATTAAAAGCTACAGATATAACACAAGGTTTATCACTAATATAACAACACCGCCACACACTATATGCACACATACACGCCAACAACAATAACAACTTGCCCGCTGTAGGCCCAGCTGCTTGGCAAATAGACAAGACTGTGTAACAGGGATACAGTAGAACAAGAGACAGTAAAGTTGCAACAAACAAGAATCAAGGATACACTCAGGGAAGCACAGAAATGCACCTGAGGAGAAAATGTGAAATACACCCGGGGAGGAAAAGTATATCTCTCAGCGTTAGCTGAGGTCAATAATATTATCCACACGGCATCCCAAGTGGTGGGGATGGAGGAGGAGTGAATTCGTCAAACTGTCCGGTCGTCGGTATGGGTCCGAGTTGATCCTGTCCTAATTTTGGGGCCAAAATTGGGGGGATATTTATACTGGAAATTTTACATTACATCAGCAGGGTATATGTGCGGGTGGGGATGACTATAGACAATCTTATCACTTATGTTAATGCCACAAAGTCTGTCAGTTTACACCTGCATTGGGGGAGGTAATGGCTCCTTTTGTTCAGGGCAAAGAGAATGGGGGACTGGGACCACGAGGCCTCTGCCCCGTCTCACGCTCCTCTGGGCAATCCGCATAACACCAGGTAGCGATCTAGTGATGGTTGCCCCCTGCCCAGTGCTTGCCACTTCACCCAATGCTGAATTTCATGACTCAGACTTTGGGATTAACTTCGCACCCTCTCTACAATTAGTTACTGGGGACACAAAAGCATACAAAATAAGGCAAGTCTTGATGCCACTTCTATAGCGAAAGAAAGTTGAGAATTCAAATACCTGCCATCCTCAGTAGGTGACCTGAAGACAGGCAAGGAGTAGTGACCTGCCCTTGCCTCTGCACAGCGCCGCGGAGAGGAAGGCTTTTCTGACAGAAGCAATATTGTTGACGTGGTTACTGATGGGGGAGTGGTAGGTGTCAGGAGGAAGGTAGGGCTGGAAGGGTCAGCCAAGAGCCGCATCTCAGGGAAGATCCAGAAACCAGTAGCTCCTGTCAAAGAGCGTTGTCTGGTAACTCAGAACTTGCAGCGGCCGTTCCTCCCTTTCCCCGTCACGCTGCTGTTCCTTAAGGAGCGGGAGTAGAACTACAGAAGAGGAGTTAACTTCACTTTGTTTGTCAATCTAAGGACTGTAGTCAATCAAGACAGGGTTAATTAAAAAGTTTTACAAGACCTTATGGCAACAGTCACGTGGACACGCCAAATTCCTTTCCTCCTCGCAGTGTAAAGCAGTAGTTCCTTAACGCACTGACAGATGGGCCTGTCTTCTCTTTCTTCCCTTCTGTTAGAAGAACAGCTGTCTCACCTTTTGCTAAGCTCACAATCAAAATTCTGATTACTTAATACCTTGTGATTTTTATTGTTTTTTGATCTTTCACCCTAGCTGCAGGTACGAATGAAACCTAAACCATGGTCTAAAAGGTGGGAAAGGCCAAAGTACAATATAAAAGGAATAAAGTTTGAGCTACCTGAACAAAAAATGAAAGAAGCACAGAAGTGGAGCCAGCCCTGGCTAGAGTTTGATATGCTGCGAGAATACGATACTTCAAAGATAGAGGAGAAGATTTGGAAAGAAGTGAGTGAAGAGCTTAAAAAATAAAAATGGTTTGTGCTGTCTAGGAATTACAGAGAAAATTAATATTTACTTTCAATTTACTGTATGGATTGTCAGCTGGCAAGTTTTGTATATACATAGGGAAAATAAAGTTAACCTTTCCAGGAAATTTCAGAGTGTACAAACTTTTGTGGTTGAACACTTTCTGTTCCTGAAAACAGCCGCTCCTTTTTCTGAGGAGCATGATGCCCTGTTCACCCCTTCTCCAGAAACAAGAAGTTAGTTAACAAGAGGGGTTTGCTTCACCCCTTCAAGTTGTGTTGTCATTTCCAAATGCTGCTGTTACTTCTCTCTTTACAGACTGGGTAGTGGCCAGTTGTAGAACTGCCTGACTCGTAACTTCAGACGTGGGCTGTAGCAGGGAAGCAGACATGTCTGGGCCAACCGTACACTCTCAAAGTGCTGGTTAGTTTTTCCATTTAAAAAAATTTCTGACAGAGCAGTAACACCAACGTGCCAGCAGAGCAGCAAATACAAATGCTCCGAGATCAGTTTTGAAGAACTGAGGCAGTTTGCTTAAGCCAAACCACGTGAACTAGCGCAAGGTTCCTGATGAAGTGCTCCCAGTGCCAGAGGAGGTGCTCCATGCTGGGACAGCTGGTTTCATCAAACTCCTGTTTCCATAGCAGAAGCACACAGGAGTTGTGAGCTCAGGTGGCAGCTGCCTTCCCCTCTCATTACATCCCCACAAGTCATTACAAGTCATCTTTCTTCCAGAAAGGAAGATCTCCAGCGCTGAACTGGGGTAGAACATCTACTGCATTTTTGTACTAGCTCAAGGGTGGTTGCTTCAGGGGAGACCTTTAGCTGGGGTGACACCAAGGAGAACAAGAGAAAAGCAATGAGATCATCAGCTTGGGGTGAGTGCCACTCAGCTGGTGTGTTTTTGTTGGTGTTCTGAGAGGAAAAGCAACAGAAATTCATTATTAGAAGCAACGTAACTCACAACTCCTAAAGCTAACGAAGGCTAATGCTGTCTGAGAGGATTTTTTCATACTGCTAATAACACTCTCACATGTTGAAGAAAACACTGTAGGAGTCATTAACACAGCAAAATATTTTTACTTTATTTCCAAAATAATTATTTTAAAAGTCATCTTGTCTGTAACACTGATCAAAACTTCACAGTTAAAATATTTTACAAAAATATATTTTTAACTTAGAAAAATATAAAAGAAATCATAGGGTCTGCAAGAGTTAAATTCTAGTCCCAGATTTTGGAGAAATACAGTCATAAGTAAACACACAGAGTCTGTGATGCACTAGTTTCTACAATAAAGCATCCAAGTTAATTTGTAACAATTGCAAATATACAAAGTTATACAAAACATTAGAAATCTAATAAGGGTATGATGAAGTAACGTTCAGTAGATCTTGCTGGGAAGCAAAAGGAAGACGTTCCCAGAGCTTCAGTTACCAGAAAGCAACTGAAGTCGTTCTTGTGCTTCTCATCATCAAGGTGTCTGTTACTGGCGGCCTGACAGAGCAGGATGAGCGACAGCTCTGCGCACACCCGCTCAGCCTGTACCTACCAGACTCCAGTGCGCATCAGACACTCTCTTCACTACCCGTTTGCTCTTCCCTAGATGTTTGTGCAGCTCTTGCCTCGCCGAACCCACATTTGCCATCAATAGACATTCATCATTCAAACTCCTGACCCACGAGCTGACTTCCCTTGGCTCTGTACCAGGGCCAAAATCCTGCAACATGACGAATTCTTTTTCACTAGGGATGGCCTAACAATAACCCTGTTATTGTTACAATCCTAACCTAAAACCCTAAAAATCACCACGGACCACAGGGTAGAAGCACTCAATGTCTGCTGAGGCAGAGTGATACTTAGAAATTCATACTGAAAATAGCTTGTCAAGCTGTCTACTGCCTAGCAGCGATAAACTTTACAGGCACTTTGTCTTTCCAGAAATCCTCCCAAAAAGGATAAAAGCAATAAAGCATCGTCATACATTTTAGAGTGCCTGAACCATCGCTTTACTTTGACAACTGTAACAGCTGAAAAGCCTCCTTAACCTAGGAGTAATGGCAGAAAATGACATTTCGAAAAAAACCTCAGCTGTTTAAGAGTAAGACAGCGATTACCACTACATTTCTGAGTAGGCGGGATCCACTAATTAAACATCGTGTTTTCTAGAGCGAAGAGCAGGCTTGATTCAGTAACGCAAGCGTTCCTTCAAAAATTGCTATTTCCCAATCATTGATTTAAGGTGTTCAAGTTTATACTCTTCAATGAAGTCTTCAACAATATGCAGAGCTTTGACTTTCACCAGCAGCAGCAGAACTTCTTTTGTTTCATCACTATTAAAAAAAAAAAAAGATTTGTATAGCAGCACTTTCACATACCTGACTTCAATACACTTTATTCATTTCAAAGAGTCAGGTATCTCTCCTTGGCCCCTTGCCATCAGGTGGCCTTGGCTGCGCTGGTCACTATCAGCACCCAGCCTCAAGCTATCCCACTACAGTCGAGCGGCAGCAGCTCTTCTTTACACTATGGACTCCCATCTTCTGGTTTATGTATATACGTGCCAAGAACATCCTTGAAAGCATCAAATATGAGACTTAAATTCCTTAAGTATTTAACACAAAGCATTCAAGGAAGCCCTTGAATCCCAAGGAAAGCTCATCTATTACCTGCGGTTATCCTTGTGCAGCGTACGGGCGCATTGCAGCAAGTGCTGGCAGAAGTTCAGTAACTCAGGGAGAGTTGACCCACTTTTAAGATCTTGGAACCACCTTTCTGGGAGGCAGGCGACCACCTGTTCACACCAAAAAAAATATTTGGAAGAAGTTTAAAAAGAAAAGTCTTTCAATATAACCAAGTCACATCACTTATGACAGGGACTTTTTGGCAGATTCAATCATTATTAGTAGTGTGTTTTTTTCTTTGAAACCAGTATTGATTATCCCTACAAGTAGTTATTCTTAAAACTTATGGACAAATATTTGCGCTAAAAAGCTTTTATGCACCAAGGCCATAAAATTAAAATTTAAACCAGATTTTAAATGTTGTTTAATTT